GCATCCTGCATAAGTATGATTGCCAGCTGTCAAGCTATCCAATAATATACAGTACATTATAAATACTTTCATGCATGGCTCAGCAAAGAGCCGTAGCATATCTAACTCAACTAGAAAGGAGTTGATACTCCCTGTGTACCTCAAGGAATGCAATTTATGTTTAGAAGTCTGAGAGTGACTATTTTAGGATATTTATTAACAACCTTATTATTTTTTATCCCTCACAGAAATCTGCCTTTGCCATCTTTCATTCTAGTGCCCCTCTCTAATAACTTTCCCATATTACTGCTTTGCAATAGCATTCTTTAGCATTCAAGAGATTTTGTGACTTTAGAATTTGCAGTGACTTGTATTTTTCCTTAGCAGCTTGGAGGAGTGATGAGTAGCTCTCTTCCTTACATTTATACTTCCCTTCCAGCGTATAATTTCATTTAAAAGTTGATATTGTTCTCCTAACTGTTCTTTCCAATAATGGAATGCAAAGCAGTGCCTGTCCCTTAAGAACAACTATAAGGTTTCTCAGCATAAAAATTAGACATTGCAAGTTGCATTTGGGAATTTAAGACAATGAAATGGGAAGCAGAAGAAATGAGATAAAGGTGGAAAGGAATGATTCAAAATTAAGAAAAACTGCTGACTGAATTATGAGTCTGACAATGGACCAGAAGAGGTAGCAGCAGGCAGAAGAGCAAAAAGGAAGGAATTCTGCATACCTACAGCTTAACTGAAAAGGACAAGATACTCACCATGAAAGGAACAAATCATGTGAGATTTCTAGAGCCACAGGGGCAGACAAACAGAACATGATACAAAGGTTGGAGCTTGATTGATAGGTAGAAATCTTGCAAAAAGATAAACTATCAGGTATTATAGAAGTAGCTGTCCTCAGAGAAGAAATACCAGTACCAAAAATTCAGATTGCTTACTTTTTTGGGTATATTTACAACGCAATCATGGCCATCGTTGTAGTGAAGTATATACATACTAGAGCTAGCTTTAAACTAGCTAGCATGGGAACTAGAAAAAAGCTCCAGCGGCATGGAGTAGAGTGTGATTTACTTAGCTTTTCAGACAATTTTTCAATCCATGCAGAATTCCATGCTGCCATATCTGGATTACTACTGGTGCTCAAGCCCTCATTTAAAGCTAGGTTGTGTATATCTAGTCTTCACTGCAGTGACAGCTGTGTAAACATATACTTTTATCTCCTTCATTTCATAAATGTAAACAAGACTTGTAAAAGAGCCTGCTATAGCAGCAGTCACAATAAAAATAATTGATTAGACATTTTTAAACTTAAAACCAGCTTTTTTTACTACTTTGTTTTCAATTTCTTCCACAATGATGAAGAAAGAGATACTATACGAGTTGTACAACAGCTTCTATGTGATTCCACCAGCTTCTACAGTAGCGTGGTTGATTAGATCAGTGGTGTTTCAATCTTTTTCCCTGATGGGCCAGATGGGTAGTATCCAGTCTGTGGGCCGGTCAGTAGCCCCAGTCTGGTGCCTTGGGGAGGGGGGGCAAGGCCCCACCCTAACAGGTGGATGGCGACAGGGAGCAGCCTGGCCCTGATCTGGCTATTTGGAGAGAAGTGGGTATGGCCTGCCTCCAATCTGCTCATGCAGGGAGAAGGGAGCATGGGAATTTGGCAGCAGGGGAGGCTGGCAGTATTAATGGTGATTGCTCCCTCACCACCAAATTTCCAAGCCAGTGGGGAGCCCCATGGGCTAGATGCCATGGCTCCATGGGCCACATTTGGTCTGCAGGCTACAGGTTGAGCACTGTTGGACTAAATTATCAAACCATAGAAATAATCCTGTGAATTGTTTTTTGCTCACATGGGTAATCCTTATTTATTTCAGCAATCACTCTTGGGCAAGGACTAATCGTGTAAGTAAAGTTTATAATATCAGACCCTATAGCCTACTCTACAGATTATTAATCCACCAGATTAATTAATTAACCTTTTGTATCAGATATCCAGGTTGTAGCCGTATTGGTCTAGAGACAAAAGGAATCAGAACTCATGGTAGAAGTGATATCTTTTATTAGACCAACTAGATGTTTGCAAAACAATTCTTTATTTACAAGCAAATACAAAATTCTTTATTACATTTTAATTAAAGTTAACAAAATTATTGATACAAGTTGTTTACATGCAAAACAGAGTCTGTAAAAAAGTGTCAGATATCAACTACGCATGCAGTGTTTTAATAGTTAGATTACTGTCAAAATAATAACCAAACCTTTTATTGGCTATTTTATTGACCATTGATGTGGAAGTCCATACCTCCTGACTTTTTCCTATTTGTCTAGAAACTATATGGATGTGTTATTTTCCTCACTCACCACTGTACTTTACACCTATTTTATTACAATGTCACACAAAGTGACATTTAAAAGTTATAATCATATGTTTACATGTTTACATACCATGTAAAAGTAGAACACTGTATCTGATATTTCTAATTATAGTAATTTTATGCATTAAAGTTTATTTGTCTAGCCTTCCATTTTTTTGTTCCCTGTAACTTTTGACTGTAGCTATGTGTTTGCTTGTCAACTCTAATATTACAAATAATAAAAATATTTTCTTGAGAATTTCAAATGTGACTAAAGATGTTAAACACTACTGAATTAGAAAATTCTTATATTTTAATATTTGAAATGTGTTATGGTATGTTTGGCTGATATATTTTGAGTGGTCGATTTTTAGAGATGTCTGTCCCCTAGACAGGTTAATATGTACCTATTCAGCATAGAGTGATTTTCCAGACTTTTTTTCTGTTTAGCGACTGGACTCATAGTAGAACACAGAAAGCCACAAACAGTTCTTCATTATATTGAAAAAATATGCCCTCCTTGTTTGCTCTTGGCCTCTGAGGTTCTGATCATTGTCACTCATTTATTCTGGTCTATTCATCTGGTTAGAAAACACTGATTTAGCTATAAATCATTACAAAGCTTCTGTTCTAGACTGCGGGTGGGTGTAGAAAACATGCAGCTGGATTGAAAAACAGGTCAAGTTCAGCTGCTTATATCTAGCAGTGAAAGAAACAAACAGTGACAGTCTAATAGGGGAGAGAGCTGATGTAAGGAAGGAGTGTAACGTACTTGTGCTTGAGTACTCTGAATCTTCTTGGAAAGAAGTTTAGCAGTGGAAAAGAAATGTATCTGAACTTTATTGCACTTTTGGAAGGCTTCCTTTTTGTTTGTTATACTTAATAGAGAGGGAAGGTTTAAAGGCTTTCCCTTTCTGGGTGGGCTGTTTAGGTAGCTCATGTCATGCTGCTGTGTCACATCACAGAGTCCTGCAGCACACGGCAACAAAAATGATCAGGAGCGTGGAAGACAACGCTTATGAGGAAAGCCTGAAAGAACTTGGGTTATTTAGCCTGGAGAAATCTGAAGGGGGATTTGATAACAATCTTCAAATACCTGAAGGGTGATCATAGAGAGAATGGAGATGGCTGTAGGGGGCAGGACTAGGAGCAGTGCCCTGAAATTGTAATAGGAGAAATTTAGGCTGGAGAGGAGGAGAATGTCCGAGTAGGAGGGTGGTTGACCATTGGAACAGGGTTCCTAGAGAAACTGAGGAGTCCTCATCCTTGGAAAATTTCAAGAGCAGGTTGGACCAGCTTAGGGATGCTGCTCCTTTGAGCAGGCAACCTGGTGAGGTCCCTTCCTTCTTATAATCAGCAACCCAAAGAGAAGTAAGGTTGGTGCCTGCTATGTTTGGGCAGCCCCCACCCCACCCCACCCAGGCGCCTTAACCCTTACCCCACCAGCCAGCGTTACCAGGTGTACAATCATTATTGACTTTGTGCAATAATTTCAACCCTTGTACGATAGATAATACTAAAAGTGTTCACAATTTACTATGTTTTTGAGGCTGTTAACTGATACAGCCTATGCAAAATCCAAGTCACTCTCAGGGAGCCTTAACCAACTTTCACGCTTGTATTTTTTTTATATCTTTTCATGTTCCAGGTCAAATCTGTTCCAAATCACATCAACTGAGCAGAACTCAATCATTCTAGAAACGACACCCATTGAGCAGGCAGAACTTGGTCATTCTAAATACCATGTACTGCACTACAACCTGCAAACATCCTTTGGACCAGGCTCACTCTGGGCCTGCAGATACTCCCAAATCCATCAGCAGGGGTCTTACATGCAGGCACGAGCCGAGAGGTCTTGGGATGCAGATGCCCCCACTTGATCTGAGCCTACAGGAGCTTGAGAAGCTCGCTCTCAGCGTGGCCTTATGACAGCTTGCCTCTAAATCAAGAAATGCTTCAACTTGGATAACCGCGGGTCTCACTCGCAGGAGGTTGACAGTGAACATCATAAAGTACATAAGGCTTATTTGCATACTTCTTTTTTCCTGTGTGCGATAGTTTTTCACATAATTTGATCATTTGAGCTTCCAATATGAGAATTTCGTATTTAAGACCTGGCAACGCCGCCAACGCAGAGGCTGAACAGCAGAAAGCGCGCAGAGGCTGCAACCCCACCCTGAGTGCCCGGGACCGGCAGCCCTCGCAGACCTCTGACTTCACCACCCACCCCGGGAATCCTCCAGTGCGGAAGTGACGTCAGAAACGGGTGGGCGTAAAACAGCAAGATCCTCTGTCCAGCCCGGCAGCGCCTCCGTCCCGGCCTGCAGCCCCCTCACAGCCCGGCTCCCGAGAGCCCCTCCCCCAGCATGACGTCACTGACAAGGCCAGGCCGAGCTGGGGGAAGTGGCTTAATACCCCCCCCCCACCTCCAACTACTCCCTGACATGACAGCTCCCCAACCTCCCTCCCTCTTTCCCGCCCCGCCCCTTGACCTCGCCGGCCAATCGCCTCGTTGCCCTCCAGCCCGAGGGTGGGACCAACAGTTCCTTCCTCTCTCCCCATTGGTCGATGCCTGGCGAACGTCACGAGAGGGCCGGAGCCGGCGCGGATTGGCCGCCGGGGATCCAGGGGCCGGCGCGGATTGGCTGTGGCGGCGCTCACGTGATGCTGGGGGGGCCGTGACGGTCGGCTTCAGCGGAGGCGCTCGGCTTGTCAGGTAGGAAGGTGCCGCGCGCCTCGGACGCGCCCGCGCGCTGCCTGGTCGCCCGCTCT